TGTTTTGAATGTGGACGCTGGCCGGCCGGCCCTGGCAACTGGTATATAGGCGGCTCGCACTGGCCATTCGTCAGCCTGCTTGATGGCACATAAAGCCGCAATCTGAATACGAATTTCCCAGTCGGTTTCCATTAGTGAATTTCTCGGACGCTGAATGGGCTGGTGATGTAAAATGATGCCCCGACAGAAATTGCCAACTAGTTGTATTGTAACGACGCATGTCACTGGCAGCCACACAAAAGGCGGCAGTAACAAACATCCAATCTTGCTGCTTCTTTTCCGGCGGACTTTCGGGAAGGTGAGGATATTGACAATGCCTGGTCTCACCAGCGAACCAATTAAGCTTTTCGTCTCTCTGCCCGGACGCAATCTTTCATCTCTGCCAATCAGAATCAATAGCTGCCATGCTCAGTTACCCATCAATATTGCGCGACAGTCACCGGCCAACCAATATAGGTAACACTGCGCGTCAGACCTGTAGTGCAAGTGTATTTGTGTGTGAGAGGAGTCTCGAAGAGCACCGCGTTGCTACGACCTTTGACCTTTATCGCACCCCGCTCTCGTTTTCCCGTGGTGACGGCGCTGACGCAGAAACGACGTCACGCCTCAATTAGCCACGGACCGGCGAGCCATGGGCGGTCGGCGAAAGGCGGACGGTGCGGCACAAACAAAGCCAAGATGCTATCGCGACATCGCCAGATCGCGCGGCAAGTGTTGCGTGACCGTCACAGGTCACTGGATTACAGCGAGAGCGCAAAGACGACGGTTTATAAGTAACGGGGACGGGCGGGCGGTGGTCGGCGGACAATGGTGCAGCAGTAGTCCTTCTGTCTAGTGACAGGACCTCTGCAGCCCACAAAGGGCCCACGACACGACGCGATGGGCCGAGACAGACCCGAGCAGACCCCATCCGCGGCCAGACCACCGTGTCGGCAACGACGCGCCGCCGCCGACGGCGCTCCGTCGGCCGCCTCCGACCCCGGCGCCGCAGTTAGCGAGAGAGAGAGACGCCCGTAGTGGACGGTGAATGGTGGCACACAATGGCCCCACGCCCGAATACACGCCAAACACAGGGTGGGGAGCCGCGAGTGGAGCTCAGCGCGGTGTGGTCTGTGTCGCCTGACTGGAACGACGGCGGGTCTGGGACGAGGGTGGGGAGGGAGGAGTTGGCGACAGCGCTTCGACAGCGCCAAGGATAACAAGGAAACTTGTGGGGATGAGACCAAGCCAACGGCTGCCAGCTATCACATTCGGTAGCCAATTAGAAGCTGTTTATGTGACTTCTGAGATTTTAGCTGTTCAATCGGTGCTGATGAAATACGAAGACTTTTCCCGAAGACACGCTGCAGATGAGCTCAGCTCAACGGCGTCATTTTGTGAAAAATCCATTGGGGTCAGCAGGGCCACGGCGCGTGAGGTTCAGCACCAATCGACGCAGCCGTTGCTGTAATGCCGGCACGTCTCGTCATATTGAGCCCATGAGACTGGCCGAACGAGCCAAGGAAATGAACAGACCCGCTCGTGCATTTAAATGCCGCCACCAACATTATCACCGGCACATTTTTCTTCGGCAGCCTGTAAAAAGGCGGCCTCTCACGACTGGCAGAGCTCACCCCAATCTGGTGGGCGGTGTCTATGTGCTCTCGGACGTCTGCCCAGGATGCTAGATGAAATGCAACAGCCTGACGTGATCACCTTGACAGCAATGTGACGTCTTCATCACGTATGAATCTAACGCTGCGGTGGGATACAGCATCAGCCACAGCGCCGAATGGCCATCAGATGCAAATCAGCGCGATATCAGAACCCGTCGGAACATTCACTCTGCACACGTGAGACAGGTATACTGCCATCGCAGCTGGTCTCACGGGCTCGGCGGGACCACCGTGGACGCCGTGGTCCGCGGTCCGCGGTCTGTGGTCCGTGGTCCGTGGTCCGGTCCGATCACCATCCCTCACCGGCGCTCACCGCCCCCGGGTGGCGCCGAATCGGAGCTCCCTGGTGACGATCAATTGGGTCGCGGGCTGACCACCGCGGCCGGCAGGGACGGACGACACGCAACACTGCCCCGACCATCCATCTCAGTGGCGCGCGCGGCGCCTGGGGAGCGGCGGTGGCGGCGGTGGCGGACGGCGATAGCTGCCCGCTGGACGCTCCCGTTTCGCCCACCGACCGCCGCCGGTCTGTACTCCCACCGCCCACCCACGGCTAACTCCCACTGCCCACAGCCCACAGTCCGCCGGCCACAGCTCATCGCCGCCTGACTCAGCGACCAGTCGTCCGGTGTCGAATATCCCCCCACCCGACTGCCCATCTCCGCGGCTGCTCTCTGCCAATTCGGTGGTTTCCTTCAGTGATGCTCCAGTGATCACCAACTCTCGTGGCCACTGCCGCCACGCCTCAGTGGTCGTCTTACGCTGCCGCGAACTCATTGAGTGACATTCCAGTGGTCCCCTCAGTGATTCTCCTGGGTCACCAATGGTTCACTGGTGCCACTCCAGGGAGGCTGGTGCGTGCCTGAGGGTCTGTCTGCGGCCGGGGACGGTCGATTCGGGTCCCTCTGTCGGACATTGTTCGGACGGCCGGATACACATGGATATGTTTTGATATCGTCCCGAGGAGACTCCGCTGACGAGTCAATATTTTCACAGCTGCCACCGCTCGTCCATAAGGCCCCTGGCTCCCATTGATAAAGCCCAGACGCCCTAATGCCTCATTGTTCCGCGGCTGAAGTATTTCTGTAACATCATTTCTGGATGGTGCACTTGATGGCAATTTATTAGTTTAGCGCAGTTCTGGAGAAGAAAAGCCAGCTCCATGTAACCATTACTGCTAATCTTCTTCAGCCAGGCGCCTTTGGAGAAGCCATTGCCTTAGACGCTCGCCCTGAATAAAGAGAATAAAGCTGACAACGGAGGCTAGAAGGAAGCCGAAATCATGTTCACTAAAGTTTTAATTAGGTTTCGAGTGCGAGACGAAACGTAAATCACTCTCGACTGGGGTATTTGGTAGCTCATTTGTTGGATTCAGAACCTGCGGAGTAATTTATTCGGAAGCGTGCTATGATCGAACAAGTCACAACAGCCCGTCAGGTGGCACGGGAGCACGCGCCGCGTAAATAATCACTGACGCGGCTCGCTCGCGGCGGGCCCACGCAGCTCTGCGGGACGCGCGGTCAGAGCTGGAAATATGACACAGCTGCCGACCCACGCCCGGCACACACGCGCTGCTCGCGGCAGGGAGCCGCCACGGCGTGTGAGCGAGGGGGTAGCTCAGCAGGTACACAGTCGACCTGCAGAGTATTGCACCAGTCGGGAGTGCGATACTGCCGTGCGCCCAGTAACTTTACCATTGAGTGAGGGTGGTATATTGGGAATTTCAATTATGTGTAGGCACCGTATTTCGCCTTGGAGATGTAATGGATTAATACTGATTGATGCGTCTCTTTGGTTGCTCCCTGCTGGCCCTTACGTCCTCTGGTGACCTTTTGCGCCCTCCAGCGTCCTCTCTGCGCCCTGAGCTGCCCTCGGCCACCCTTTGCGGCCTGAGCTGCCCTCCGCCACCCTCTGCGGTCTGAGCTGCCCTATGCCACCCGGCCCGTCCTAGTGATGGGTAGCGACCCGTCGCAGAGCCGTGTCCCCATTCGTCTCTCCGTAATCGCAGGGACGGTTTTTGCCTGGTGCCACCACCTGGACTGACTTGGACCAGGGGACGCGGTGTGCGGTGCATGGGACCGACCGAGATGGGCGCGGGGATAATAGAGTGAACACTGAGCACACGTAAGAAACGTGGCTGGAATGCCAGGGCAAAAGAGATGTGCATCCACACGCGACCAAATTGCCTGCATACATTCTTGGATGTTACAGCAAAAAACACTGGCTTTTCCATGTGCTGGTCATTGGCATGACGCCTGACTCAGGTTTGCGATGACTCACCTGCCCGCGGCTCGGAATGTGGTGTACTGTGCGGGTGTGGTGTCCGGTCATCGATGGCGCGATTTTGCGGTTACCGTGCACGGTTTCTCCAGATTTTGATCAGCTCAATACGCCCTGTGCTGCAGAGACACAGGCCGCAGAGGTGGCAGAACATTTGTTCTGGTATTACAGCTGCTGAAGTGACTATCTGAAGTGAGATACCGAGCAGTAGGGGATCAATTCGAGCAGATGGCTTGGCTCCCGACATGGCCTTGCTTTTACAGCTTACCAATATCTCGCCGTAACGATTTGCTTCTTGCGCTCAGTAGTAAAAATGTGTCACCAGATGAGGAATTTTAGTTGGGAGCAAAACCTCTTATAGGCAGCTGTTTTGAGAATATCGCCTCGTGTGACAGGGATTTTGTGCTCTGTGTACCATTACAGACGGATTACACGCATAATAGACAGGATGCCTGATACTAAAGCTTGACTTAAGCCAAATCCGGCAGCTGCAATTCTAGGCTCAAGTATTTTTTTTTTGTCGACTGCAGGATTACAGTGGCACATACACAACAGCAAAGGAAGAGCTAAATAAGGCTTCAGTTTTCAGGCATCTTTGTTTAAAAAAGTCTAGTTTAATGTTCAAATGTAAGGCCAAGCTGTGGTAATGAGATTATGGTATTAGCTATTAAGCAAATGAGCTGGAGCGGTTAATTAAGCATACGAGCCGGATTTCTCAAAATGTGTCATTCCACAGGTCTTTGCCAATCATGTTGAGAGCTGAACATTTCATCGTCGAATAATGCGACTCGATTATTTATGTTAGCACTATAAATGATATAAAGTAACTCTAGTTCGTGTCGAAATCTTCTGCGAAATCCTCCTTACAATGCATGCGGCGAGCGCGCGGTCTCATGAGGCGTATTAGGCTTATCAAGACACGTCTTATTGAGGCTTGAGCACGACTCCCTACATGGCGTTCCGTGCCGTATGCAGTCGACTGGCCGTGACCGGCGCGACCCCTCTGACCCCCGTGACCCTTCTGACCCCTGTGACCCCCCTGACCGGTTCTCTCCGCCGTTGCAGACCCGGAGACCGTGATGGCCCGCGCCGGTACCCGGCTGGCCCTGCCCTGTCCGGGCCGGTCTGCGGTGGGCGCCCCGCTGCTGGTCAGCTGGCTCTGCAGCGACTGTGGCCGCGGCCCCGGTCAGGTCACCGTGGCAGAGTACAGCCAGGACGGCACCGTCTCCCTCCTCATGGACCCCAGCCGCGTGCAGCTGGTCCGCCACTCGTTCCAGCTGGTGCTCGACCCGACTATGATCAGCGACACGGGCACCTACGTGTGCAGGATCAACAACGACCCCGCGCCCGACTTCATCAAGGTTGTCGTGCAAGGTACGCTCCTCCGATTGTCGTCGGCGCTGCTCCTCGCGCACGTTTGTCGCCCGTGCCCTTTGAGATGAAGCCAATTTCGCGGCTACTCGTCGGCAGTTTTTAGAGGTTGTCAGAAAAGCAGTGAGTTCTTACCGGTAGAATCTCTGCAAATGATCGATGTAATTCAAGTTTATCCGTGCGTAATGCTTTTTTATCTGCAATAAACGAGCAATTGAGGTTTTCTCAAAAACCATGCAGCAGTACAGATCCGTCTATTGATCTTTCTTCTCGGTGCCAGTCATTTGATTTGAGTCACTTCTAAAGCATCTTGGTTCATAGAAAACAGACCTCAAGCGCCCTCAGGGAAGTCCCTCGAATGCCTATTGGATACAATAGGTCAAAGCGTTACGACGTCATAAACCATTTTATACCAAACTTCTCGCCATGCTCCGTGTAATCAAGAGAGAAACTCATCTCTAATCATAGTCGGGGAAACGCGTCAGGGAATCGGCCGATCGCGTGTCGGCGGCTGCTTTGTTACACATCGATTTAAATACCGTTCTGCAATCCCACGGCGGCCGTTCCGAGCGGCCACCGGCCGGCACCCTGCGGCCCTTCCCATGGCCACTAACGGAACCGGAACCGAGCTGCGTTTTTAGTGCAGCCGCCGACACGCCACCGGTCGCTCCCACGCGCGTCCGCAGCGACGCTCGCCGACACATTCCTGCGCGCGGCTCGAGACGACGCGCTGTGAGAAGTTTTCGAAGGCAGCGACCTGTCGTTGAGACGGCTCGACGCGGTGAAGTGTACATAAGGTGGAGGATCTGATCATGAGCCAGGGCTGATAGTTTGCAAGACCGAGCCAGGGTCGGTCTTGCAAACCATCAGCCCAGGAGTCTGTGAGAACTGGGGTCATCCCTACGGCGCACTCTGCACTGCCGCCGCTGTGATGGCCATGTAAATCAGTCAGCCGCCCACTGTGCGCCCTCACGATCGGCTGCGGTCATGGTCTGACCACCGTGCGCCCCAGGAAACGGTCCGCGGCTGCCCTGTGAGCCGCCCCTGACCGCGCTCGGCCACGCCGGGTCAGGGCAGTCAACGGCGGGACGCTGGAAGACGCTGGTGGACTTACTTTTCTAGCGATGTCCGCTCTTCACATGTATTCTAATGTTAGATATATCCGTCCATAACGAGGTCCTGTTGCTGTTTTTATGGTTGACTACGCATGAGAGCGCATTGGAGCAATAATCAGCTCCGGGATGCGACAGTCGCCGTCATGAGCGTCTTATGAGATACGTGCACCAATGCAGCGACCTGTCAATAATGTCTCAATGCGTCCTCGGCAACATGAGGCTTGCGCTAGTCGGCAAAGGACAGCAACGCATCTATATTTGCCGATTTTTTTTCTTATATCATATCGTGGGCGCGGTAAATGCCCCATACAATGTTCGTGATGTTCTGAGCTTTGATGGGCATTCAACAGAACATGACCATTCTCTGCTGGTTTAACCATTCCAGCTAAATTTCCTCAAAGTGTAAGTGATGTATTGTACTGCACAGAGGAGCTGTGTTTCGAGTGAGAGAGCGTCTCGCCAATGCCCTGAAGCGATTGGCGCCTCATCTCGCCGCATCGCTCGGGTTCCCGGCGGGGACGGACGAGATTGCGTCGCCTGTTTAGAGTCCGGATCGGCACCCTTCAGGATATTGATCTCACGTGACCGGTCCGGTCGGTAGCCGGGTGCCAGGGCTTATCCGTAGGCCACGGCCAGGGCTGCACATGACACTTCAATGATTCAGCTTTCTGACTTTTCAATTGCAAGCCATCGACTTAGTTCACTACCGACACAGCGATAAGCTGTCAGGGTTCTAAGATCAGTCAGCTCTGACCGGGTTCAAGCTCAGAGTCAAACCGTTTGCTGGACCGGGCCAAGCTGCATATTAACCCGCGAGTTGCTGGGGGGGGGGGGGCGTTAAACGCCCCCACTTTTTTCGCCGGGCCATAGCATAAAAACGGCGCGCCGCAGGCGCGCCAAATTTTGGGTACCTGTAGGGAATTGATTGAAGTTTATTGTGACAAAGTTTCAAAAAAATCGGTCGGAAAATTTTTGAGATATCGAGGTTTTAGTGACGTCATGATTTCTGAGTTTTCGACCAAAAACGGCATATGTTCAAAAAATCATATAAAATCACAGAATAGACATACAGACATGCCGTAAACGCCATTAGACTGCTAATACCATGATCAATCAAATGGCTATCTTCGATTATTGATTATCGTTCCGTATTTTCCATAATCTTGAACTGAATCTTGGCAATTTTTCGTGACTACTTCACGACCATGATACATGCATTTCTTAAATTGAACTTTTTGAGCCAAACACGTACTTATATGATAAAATGAATGTCACCATCGTGTTCTACGCCCCAAATTACCTATAAAACATGCGTCACAGGCTGCGAATATCAGTTTTGATTTTCGGGGATATGTGCCTACCCGGTTGACCTGACCTTGACCCTGACCTATGCTTGACTGACCCCTACATGGAGCTGACACTCTTGTAGGCCTTATATGATGGATTGTGCACCGTTTTGACAGAGTTTATGACGAGAGGCGCCCATTGCGAAGTCCTGAAGTCCATGCCACTGAAAGCCCGATTTCAGGTGTTTGACCTGACCTTGACCCGACCTGTGACCTCAAAATTCAACTTTTAAGTACTCATCTGAAGCGTCTCGTCGCGCTCTTTCGTTTGCCGCCTCGTGCGTTTCGCTGCGCCTATTGGTTCTCGAGTTATCGGCTGGGGGCGTTTAACGCCCCCCCCCCCCCCAGCAAACGGTGGGTGGCGAAATACCCCAGCAACTGCCGGGTTATAGAGCATCGCACAATATCTTATGGCATATGTAACAATCATAATAATTCATGGGCAGCGAAGCGTCAATATCTACGAGAACGACGTAAAGCTGCAGCATGATATGCTGCCTCTCGCTCGTTACATTGAAGGTAACGAGCGATAGACAGCATCCATGGTCTGACTTTACGTCGACTATATCTTATAGCACAACGGGGACTTTTTGGTGCCGTGTTATTCTGTGCACGGTGCGCTTGGATAGCTCTATTGCTTATTTTTCCAGCTGCTGCATAATTGGCCATCGTTATGGGCAAAAGAGAAACTTACATTCACCAGACCATTGCATTCTTTCTGCTATCATTGACGTCAGTTTCCTTTTCTAATATGTCTTTCTCAACACCCGTCGGTCGATGGTTAGACGGTCGCAGTGACGCCTCTCCCAAGACAGCCGCGCTCTGCGCATGACCCGGCGTGCTAGGCGTGTCGGTTATCTCACGTTCCTGTCGATGGCCAGTCCGGTGCAGCCGTTTTTGTCCGACGGGCGGGGCGGGCTGGAAACAAAGGTGCACCGGCCGGGGTCACGACCCGCGGCCGGTCCGAAGATGTGCTGAGGGCTCGCCGAGTTATGGCCCTGGGGCGGGGGATGGCCGGCCCGCCTCAGGACTGGCATGAGCGAGGCACGGGAGACGGCCGCGCTGACCGGCGTACCGAGAGAGCCAGCAGAGCGGCTGACCCCGCAGATAAGCGTCCTACACTGGCCGCCACTGCAGGTCACTCCCATTACGGCGCCGGCGCTGACGTCCTATGACCGGCGGACGCTGCTCGGATTGGTCGGACCGGTCTTCCCCTGGCCCCGCGCGGCCCGAGAGCCGACCGGTAATTTGGTCGGTGCGCCGCAGGTGCCGCGGGAAGTTTCAGTCAAAGGTCAGAGTTCATACAAGTTCGCCTTTGACTGGGTTTCGGCACGTTCATTTCGAGCCTAAAATGCCGGCCAGACTGCGGACGTGTTTCACTAGAGTTGGTGCCCGCGAGGGCGCCGGTCTTCAGTCTCGGCCATGTTATAAACTTGGCTGCGATAAAGGCGAGCCGTTTCTTCCTGCCTGGAGTTTCTCAATAGAATGAATGCATTTTCTCTGAACATTACCATAATTACGAAAAACCGATCATCGGGCGAGGATTCTCTCTCCGAAAATGTGCCAGCCATAGAGCCCGTCCTGTGAAAGCGGCGCCGGACCTCACAAGCAGTTATTGATGGATGTTGGTTATGTAAGATCTCGACTCTCGTCGCATCGTCTTGCGTGGAAGATGCTCGTCTCGGACCCTTTTCAATATTCGCGCCGCCTCATTGGTCTGCTCTCCGACTCTCATCTGTCTCCCGTCTCATTCCATCCACCCATCTCGGTTTCATCCCGGGACCTCTCCTCGCCGCTGCGAGCCGCCTCTCTCGCCGTGTCCCGAGACGGACTGACCTTCTTTCCTCGTGTTCTGGCGCGAGCCGCCCTCGGGACGGCGTCTTGTTAACTCTGACGGATCTGTGACCTGCCCGGGTCAGGCCGGTCGACTCGGCGCGCGTTACTGGTAATTATGCGCGTTACTGCGTGTAAATATTCGTGTTCCAACAGCGGGCCGGGGCGCGCCTCGGTGCCGCGCCCACCGAGCCCGGCAATCTATGGACTCGGCCGACAAACGAGCCCTGAATGGGGAGACGCCGCCGCGGTCTGAAACCAAGCTCCCCATCGGCGGACAAAGGCCAGGATATTACCCCGGATAAATAACGTTGAATATAGTGGCGGAACGGGTCGCCGTCTGGCCACTATTCCAACCATACCCACTGGTAGACGCTCGCGACGCTCAGGCGGCACTCATAGGGCGTCGGCGCCGCTCATGGCGCACCATCGGCGCTGATGGCGGGCGGGTGACGCTCATGACGCGGCAGAGGCGAGGGCGGCGCGGGCGGTCGCTGGTGGCATGCTGCTCGCTCCTGAATCGTCCAGCTCGCGAGCCCGGCCCGGCTGGCACGCTAATTTTGTCCGACGGCGCTGGCGGCGCGAGTGTGCTTATCACAGACCCAGGATGGATGGCGCAGATGTGCCGTGGATGGCCTCACCTAATCACCGCCGACAAAATACGATCCCCGAAAAGTGGGAGAGTGGCGAGCGCGAGAGCGCAACGGAAAGTCGATGAAAAGCAGCGGTTGTGGGGTGATATGGTGTGGTAAAAGAGTTGGACCGTAGCGCTTCAAGAGAAAATTCAGAAGAGTTGACGAGTTTTCATTTCCAAATTCCAATCCACATAGGCCTTTCATTTAATCTTCGCATGAATAAGCTGTAGAAATGCATGACATTTTTACCATTTTTAATGACACTTACCTTTGTAGTAACCCGATCTTTGACGGCCACGGGTCAGCTTTTACAGTCCGGCAGAGCATTTGATCATCCGAACGCAGCCGTTTCTTCCGTAGTTTCACCTCGCTACAACGTCCATCGGTGGTCTCCCCCTGGGCATATTGCTCTCATTTAGCTGTCACCATAACTCGACTCTTCACGGCAAGTAAAAACCCCGGCAGAGGGAAGGAATTTGAAGGCTGGTAATTGCTACCAAACGAGCCTCACTGGACACATAGCGCTACCAGACCGCATAACTTCCATCATTTGTTACTCGACTCGGGATTTAGAATGATGATTATGTCATTATGTTGTCGTTAATGCTAAGCAGACCCATAATGCACAGAGCTCGAATGAAATAATATTTCCGAGTGCCGCTTCGTTAGTTGCCGTAAATGCCAGCATGTTTTAATTATCCTTCCACTTATGGATGACTTAAACTCCAAGAAAAATACTCTTACATCCAGAATGTTCCTAACACCAGGAAATTTGACCAGAAGTCGAGATAATGAACTCAAATTTAGCATCACCGTAATACGGTAGTTAGGCATCCACTTAGCTGCTTTGGCATGCTGGACAGGCTGGGCTGTTGGCCGGAGGCGGGACGGACCTCAGAGCACCAGTCTAACCACCGCGCAGAGCCGGGCAGGGCGCGCGTGAGGTCCCACCCGCCGGGGAGCGCCAATAATGAAGCCTTTGATGCCTCCATTAATCAGGGGAGGGCGTCGGGCGGGGACGGCGCGGCCCCGGGTGGTGGCAGGGCCGCTCGGCGCTCGGCTCTCGGCGGCTCGGCACCCTCTCCGATCCGCTCCCAGCCCGGCGGGGGTCCGGGCCGGTCGGCCGCGGCGACAGCGGCCTCATTGTGTCGGTGTGCGGCCGTCAGCCACGGTCCGTCCCGCCACTGTCAGCCCGGCCGTCCCCCGACCGTCCCCCACCGTCCCCCACCGTCCCCGACTCGCCCCTTTGCCGGCTGGCTGAACCCACGCCTGTTCCTTTCGTCCCCGGAGCGGGGCCATACAGGCTGATTTTTACCCTTGGCTGGCGGTATTGAGATGTCACCTGGGACCGGGCACAATGGCCGCCATAATTTGGGGAGACCAGTGGGGGTGACCGGGCTACCCTTCCGCCTAATTTATTCTGGAGCGTCCGACAGCGCGCCCGGCGGCCCACCCAGGAGCGGGGCTGGCTGGGACATACCAGTCCTTCCCATACCGACCGGCACCCTCACCGGTCCAGCACAAAGTCGTAACAAAACGGCCGGGATTAGACAGCTGTTACATCGTGTTTATGGTAGGCTAGCCCATGATTGAGCGCTGTTAGGAGCCGCTGAAATGGTTCTCTTCATCACGCCTGTTTTTCTTCCATTTCAGATGTGCCTGACGCACCTGGCAAGCCGCTGGTAGGCGGGTTTACATCGACGTCTGTCAACATTTCCTGGGCACCGAGCATCAACAGCCGACGGACGCCCGTGCACCACTACGTGGTCCAAGTAAAGTAAGTCACCAGGCTACGGCGCTTTAGATGTCAACGACGCCTCAAAATCGCCACCTGCGCTCGCATGTAAAGCTCGTTCACATAGTGCTTTGAAGAAATATGCATGCGAAAACACCACAATGTCCCAGCCCATTACGCCAACGGGGTGCTCCGCAAAACCATTACACTTCATCGACCTCAAAGTGAAGGAGATAGGCATTAGCATACTTTAGTGAAACCACGCCCCATTATATAAACCAGAGCATATCGCTTCGGAAACGAGCGGTCAAGTGACTGGCGTTATATAGGGCGCCACAGTGACCGGCCAAATCCTGCAGCCGCGTGCACCGAGTGTGCTGTTTTAGCGCCAGTCGGTCGGCACAATGCCGCTGACACAGGGCGTCACCATTACTCGGGGCCGTGTCGCGTCGCCTGGGGCCTGGCGGCGGCGTCCGGCGGTGCCGAGCCGATTTAGTGCCGCCGCGCGGGAGGCCGCGGGCTGCCGGCGACGGCGGCCGACGCCGTAAATTTCGGCACACGGCTCGGATTCCTTTGGCGCGGCGCTCGGCGCCGACGGGCCCGCCTCTGTCTCCGCATTAGCAGAGCCAGAGGACACGGCGATGGCCCGGGCCGAACGGGTCCCGACCGTCGACGGGGCGGCCGCCACCGACGGATTGATTGCGCCGAGCCGCGCCCGAGCGCAGCCTGTCGCCGAGTCGCGGTTTCATTCGATTGTTCTGTCGCCATGGCCGGGCCGTGGGGACTGCGACTCCCATCGGAGATGGAGCTGAGCCGTAGTGAATGTGGGTTTCGTGAGTTTAACAGGTCAAGAGTGGAACTCCATGGCGCCTGGCTGGGTGTTCACAGGACAGAAAATGGGATTAAACCTTTTCAATTTGAATAAATAATAGTCAGTTAACTTTCCTTAATCAATTCAAAATCGCCTACAAGTCCTTTAGCATAATGAGAGAACTATGTTGATGAAAAGACTGTAACTAATGAGGAAACATTAGTGTGTCTTGCATGCTAAAGAATCATGCCCATTTATTTGCTGGCTCCATATACTGCTTTACAGCTAAAAGTCAGCGGACACACGATAGTGACAAAGCCTTGCATGTCAAAGGACCAACAAAGTGAATGAGCGCAATTATAACTACAATTAAAATTAGTTTTGGTCGGCTTAGGCTTGTCGGTTGGATACCCGTGCATTATTATGATTCTACTCTTACTTATATTATATGCTACGTATTTTTAAGACGCTGGTCGAGCTTTGGTTTTGCGACGTGATCACCGTCCGACCGTGCCCTCTCCTGGCATTAGCTGGTGTCTTACGGCCAGCGGGCCCGCCGGGCTTGGCAAAATGCCTGCAGTGGTAGACTGTGCCGCAGGGCTTGGTGACTGCACGCGCGCACAGGAAAGGAACCGCGTTACCGTTTGCCAGACTGCTAGTAAACGAAATGAATAGCGTAATGAATATTATAGGACCCCGTGCTGCTTTTTTGAAACAGGGCTTTTGAAGTCGCACTTTGAAGCTGAAAGATCAATACTTAATCGTGATCATGCAAAATATTCTTATTAAGTTTTCATTAACGAGTTTGCGAAGGCGCAGTGCGCACGAACAATTCATTTGATACAATATGGAATACATGTGGTCACAAATCACACTCCTTTTATAACTCACAATCTGTTATCACACGCATTCACCTTTGGTTACCCCATCATTACCCCGTTCCAGCAGAGGGCTGGCCTGCGGTCGCCCACTGTCTGAGGCTCTCTAACTGCGGTGATTCACATCCGAAAACGGCCCGCGTGCGTTCCCTTCTCACGGTCGGTCGGCGCACCCCGGGGGCGGCTGGCCGGCCCGCACCGCCGACCTTGTTCGGCCGATAGCCGGTTGAAGCGCGCCTTCCCACGATGGCGGGTGGCGCGCCGGGAGCGGCCACGTACGGCTCACGCCCCCCGGCCACCCGCCCGAGCCGCCCAGCAAAAAGCCGGCACGCTGATTATTCATAGAGATCGCGTCTCGGCGCGGTGCAATGTGGCCTGAGGCGGGTGGGCGGATTCCTTCTGGCCCAGGTGGAGTACGGATGTCTCATTAATAATGGGTGCCTGGACCGGGACCGCCGACCAGGCTGGAGACGGTTCGGAAATGTCTCGCTGGAATTCCGGGTCCTGGAGTGGGGCAGGGGGAGGGAGACGACTAGATGTCTTTTAATTTTCGACACACGTGCTAAAGATGCTAGTTGGAGAGATGAAAGGTCTGGGAGCGTCTGATATGGCTCTTAGCCAGACTTATTGTCAATAGAAGCCAAGCTAAGCTTTATTTTGCCGGAGATGTTTGGCGAACAAACATGCATTCATTGTTGAGGATTTATCTCTGTTATTTATTAGTGTGTTTTTATACTAATTTCGTATTTTTCGTGCATATTTATACTTATTTCTAGACAAAAAGATAAAGATGACCCAACTTTGTTAATTACCTAGGCTCCCATTCAACTTGCCAGAAATTGGAAGCATGTGGCCTTTGACTTGACCTTTGCGCTGTGATTTGATTTCATCGTGCCAAACGTGGTTCCCAGCATTATCTAACACAGAACAGCTTTCGAAGAACTTTGTAGCCGTTTATTACCATTCCCATTCATCAGTTAGTGGTGTTCAAATGAAGCTATAAAACTGCAATGATAACGGTGCATGACAGTCATGACTGGTCGAACAATATCCTATTGATGACCTGACTCTCAGAGCTCCCAATCATATGCACGGGATCACGACTGTTTGCTGCGGGATTATTTCCTATTATTTCAGTCGAACGAAGGCTCAGCCGATAGACAGCACCCAGGTCACGGGGTTAGCAGAGGCGACGCAGCCGATTCTCGGTACAGAATGTAGCGCTCAAGTCCGGGGTCATCGGTCAATCGGCTAATCTTCGGTGGTCTATGTCTCTGAGAGTGGCACAGTGGTACCCTGCACAGTGTTCAGACTTCAGCAGTTATGTGCTCTATGTTTAAGGGAGCCAAGTTTCAGGCGCCTGGGATCTATGTGTGCTCCGTTTTAGCATCTGTGTGTTCTGTGCTAACAGCTCTGTGCTCTGTGTTCCAGGGAAGGCGAGCAGGGCACCTGGGACCTGCTGGGCGGCATCGTCACTCCCGACAACAGCACCGCCTTCACTGTCAGCGAGCTGAAACCGTTCACCGCCTACAGCTTCAGGGTGCTGGGCGTCAACGATCTCGGCCAGGGGGTGCCCAGCAATAGCTCCTACATTATCAAGACTCTGCGGCAACGTGAGTCGAACGGCGTCCCTGACCGCGGCGCTCTGCTTTTCGGTCACGTTTTGGTCAAACGGCGCGGCCGCTGATATTTTGTGATTGCCGGCGCGGCAGTTATCTGCTGTTCAGCCTCAGTGGCGTTTTGATTGCATTGGTATTCTGACCTTCAGACATTCATATAACTGGCTGTAGTTTTATGCAGGCTGCAGTGCGGCGGCGCCTCTGACGCGCTGAAATGCCCCTGTCGCCGCCGCCTCCATTTGAGGCGCGCCGCGGCCGGGCGACAGTCAAAAGCCATCCAATATGATTTTGAGGCTGTGGCATCTCCCGCTAAACAATACCGGCTGGCGTCAGCCGGGCCGCCTGAGATTGCCGGCCGGTCGGCCGAGTATTTCCCAGTCACGTATGTGCCGGTCGGCGCGCGTGACGCCCCGTACCGCCGCCCGCAGTGCCCGGGGAGCGGCCCGTGATCGTCAGCGCGCACAACGTCAGCGCTGAGAGCATCGAGCTGGCCTGGCTGCTGCCGGCCTCGCTGGAGGCCATGAACGGCGAGTTTCTGGGGTACCAGCTGACCTACCGACCGGCGACCTCTGACCCGGCCGAGTGGACCGAGGCCGACCTCCACGGCACAGACGTCACGGTGAGTGCGCCGCCCCCATCCCGCCCCGCCCCGCCCGGCGCCGGGTCGGGTCACGCCGGGTCGGGTCAAGAGGAGGTGCTCGCTCGTCCTCGAGGGTAGGCCGGCCGGCGGGAGGCCGCGAGCCAGACGCTTCATCACACCGGCCGTCCGTCAGAATAGATTACCGATAGTCGCCGCTCCGACAGAGGCGTGATGGAACGAAATCTGACGAGGGTGTAAATAGCACCGAGGTGTTTAATTTGAAATGTTTTTATTTGTCCTCCGATCGACGTCGTGGTGTGTCCCTGATTTATTGGATAAACATTGAAACAAAGTGGAACGATAACTTGGGCTCGGCCTGATGGAAAAGTTCTGTTCGGCATCGATCGAATTGTATCATCGTGGGCCGTCGCAGAAGGCCGTGGCGTGCCCGCCGAGACGGCTCGTCCACGCGAACACCACAGTCGTCTGAGATGCGTGCCTTTTCTCGTAAGGCGCACATCGTTTCCACGCAAACATTTAAAATTGTTTTATGCAGGGATTCTCACTGAAAGTTGTCACTTTCTCTGCCACCTAATGCTTAGGATAAGAGGCAATTAAATTGGATGGATCCCATTACAATGTGTTTGTTCTATGTATTTCACAGAGCTTCGCCATTCAGGGCCTGGAGCCCTACACCGAGTATGAATTGCGGCTGCAGTACCGCAACATGCTTGGCCTGGGCGAGCCAACCGTTGTCAATGTTTGGACCGCCGAAGGAGGTAAGGCTTCCTGACTTCTTTATAACGCTACGGTGCATGAATATCCCCGAGACTCGCTGAAAGCCCGAGGCAGAAAACATATTAATGTTTATTATGTTTATTTACCCGACGACTTAATGGACGTTGGACACCACACACGCTAAAAGCAATGTATAAATAAAATGAGTACTCACCAAAAATCCGTGCTGTTTCCACTCACACTCCCAATTCAGAGCACAAACAATGCATTACTCGGCACTATTTTACCATCTCACACCGAACGGCTCTCTCCCACAGAGCCCAGGAGCCCAGAGCGGCTAACATCCAACGAAATCGGTGACACCTGGGCGCATATCACCTGGTCCCGTCCCACCAAGCCGGGCGCCAAAATCACCGGCTACCACGTCTACTACGAGACGGACGACAACAGCGACCGCAAGCAGGACGGCAGGCTGGTGGACAGGACGGACGACATCATCTCGTACAACCTGACCGGTCTGGCGCCGTACACCCGGTATCGTGTCTGGGTGGTGGCCCAGTCCCGGCGCGGCGAAGGCCAGCGTTCCAGCCCGCTGGAAGTGCGCACGGACGTCTCCAATCCGGGCACTCCGGCGATCAGTAACATCACGTGCAAGGGCGGCAGCTCTGTGTACGTCCACTGGAAGCGTCCGCGGCAGCTGCGCGGCGCTGTGGACTTCTACCTGGTGCAGTACCGCGCCGAACAGAGCAGGCAGTACGAGGAACTGGTCATTCCGACCACCGTCGGACGTCAGGAGGAAACGGTGAGTGCAGGGAAGGGGGAGGAAAGAGATTCAGTGACTGAGAGATGAGGGACGGGAGCCGTATCTGTGAAATAGTGAAGAATGAAAAACCGGGAATGTGAGAGTGAGATGAGTTGAGCTATGGGATTTCAAAATACGTCAAAGACGGAGGGGATGTGGCGACTTATACATAAAGCCTTAGCTCACGAGCCCAGGTTACAGGGAGCGAGCGAAGAGTAAAAGTGAAAACACCAACGTGTCTTACGTATGCTCTTAGGAGCGTCACTGAGGCAGCCCAAATAAGGAGCTTATGCTGCTTACGTTAACGGCGAGATCAAAGGATTTACGGCAGGAAGGGGATCACGTCAAGACCTATTTTATTTGTTTGGCGAACAAAGCCTTTACCAGCTGAAAAGCTGTTGCAGTGTCTTTGTCCAAGGACACCATAAATTACACTGGGTGTGCAAAATCTTCAGCCTCATAAATTGGTATCAGGCTTCACCACAGCGCTACTCTAGATAGTTATCAAAATTTATAAGTAAACTGGCAAAACATGAGGCGTTAGACTCAACATTTAAGAAAACTTCACTTCAAAGACGGATTCAAAGAAGTTTTATTCGCACAGGTAAATGTGCCGGAAGCTGAGCCTCGCTCTCGTTCGCAGATGTTCCTGCCGAACCTGACTCTGAACACGATGTACGAGGTGCGTGTGGTGGCCGGCACCAACTCGCTCTACCAGCCGCGGGTCACCTACCGCGGCCTGCCCTCGGAGTCGCACCACGTCTACGTCCAGCCCAACTGCGAGGCCATCCAGCAGCAGCGTCTGCGCGGCGTCTGGCGCCTCAGTCCCGGGGTGGTGGCAGGAATCGCCTGCGGCGCGGCGGCGCTGCTGCTCGCCACGCTGGCACTCGTCATGTGGAAGTGAGTGGATTGCTGAGTGTTTGGCGAGGTGTTTCTAGGAATGTACATATAGCTGGTGAACGCTGTGTGAGGTGTGGGTTTCGAGAATTGCGAGATTGTAGCGGATATTACTGGCATAGGCGTGATTTGACATGTTGATGTGGAACTGATATGTTTGCTGGAAATGGCAAATGCGATTCTTACGAGGATGTGTGCCTTCGCGTAAGCAAATGTCGAGAATTCCAGCTAAGTCCGATCCCTTTGCTTCCAGAAAATATTTCCAAGCTGCCTACAACCACCTCGACGAACAGAACAAGACTCCGTCGGTGATCTCGACTGACTGGGAGAACGACTCTCCGGACGGCGGCGGAGGACCCGTCCCCGTCCACCTGTTCCCCAAACACGTGAGCCGACTGCACGCTGACGGCGACATCGGCTTCAGCAAGGAGTACGAGGCCATCCAGACGCAGACCCTGCTGGACGGGTACACCTCTGAGTTCAGCCAGCAGCCGGAGAACAAGGACAAGAACAGATACCTCAACATCGTTGCATGTAAGTACATACTCCAAACGTGTTCACTGTTTCCGATGGATTCTTTGAAAACATTTACAAGCAGCCATTTTCCGTTCCAAATGCCAACTTCGCAACCAGGTCTTCATCAGTTATCTGTCTTTTTTTCAGACGACCACACTCGGGTTCCCCTTCGGCCTCTGCCTGGTCAGCACCGATGCGACTATGTCAACGCCAACTTCATCGACGGTTATGAGAAGCCGCGCGCCTACATCGGCACCCAGGGTCCGCTGCCGGACACCTACGGCACCTTCTGGCGCATGGTCTGGGAACAGGATGTGCATATCATCGTCATGATCACCAACCTGATGGAGAGGGGCAGGAAGAAGTGCGACATGTACTGGCCTCAGGAGGGCTCCGAGACCCATGGTGTCATCAAGGTGACGGCTGCTGGGGAGGACGTCATGGCGACCTACACCATCCGCAAGTTCAAGCTGCAGCACATGAAGGTGAGGGCTCGAACTGAATCATATGAACACGCTAACAGGACAACTATGATAGATGAAGCTTTGTGGCGCAGCCATCTATTCATGGTTATGTATAAGCGTTCCATGGCAGCTTACTTGAACCATCAATGCGTTTATTCTAGACTTGCTTTATATTGGTTTGGGGGCGAGTTCTCTTGAATATTACTGCACATTCCTTGAATAGAGAGCACTTAAAACCTGAGTCACGTTTAGTATCTCTTACGTAACTGTGCCCACATTTTTTCAGGCAAAGAAACCACGAAGGTCTGCCACGAAGACGGTCTACCAGTATCATTACACCAACTGGCCCGACCATGGCATTCCTGAGAATCCGCTGCCGATCCTCAGCTTCGTCAGGAAGTCGGCGGCCGCTAATCGGGACGGCGCGGGACCCATCATTGTTCACTGCAGGTGAGTTTTTTTCTGGGAAGCAACGCTACAATTAACTTTCCTTTCATGTTCCTTCCCCTCATTTGAAGAAACCGGGCTACAACTCTTAGCGTAAAAATATATCGGATCCGCTTAGCCTAAGGGACATAGTTCCGGCCTCTCTTCTGACCAGTAGGTTTCCTCCTCGTTCTTTTGCAGTGCCGGTGTGGGTAGGACGGGCACCTACATCGTCCTTGACTCCATGATGAGGATGATTCGAACTCGTGGCGAGCTGAACGTCTTCGGCTTCCTCAAGTACATCCGGACGCAGCGCAACTTCTTGGTTCAGACCGAGGACCAGTACATCTTTGTCCACGATGCCCTGTTGGAGGCCATCGAGAGTGGCGAAACGGATATCCATCGTAGCTTCCTTAGCCGCTACCTGCACAACCTGCAGACCACCGAGCAGGACATCTACCCCTGGTACAACCTCGACAGACAGTTCAAGCTGATCACGTACGATCAGGCGACTGACTACGACATGACATCAGCGCGGCACCCAGTCAACTACCGCAAGAACCGCAGCATGGAGCTGCTGCCGGTCGAGTCGTACCGCGTCTGTCTGACTCCGAGGCCCGGCGTGGACGGCTCCGACTACATCAACGCCTCCTGGCTGCTGGGCCACAGCAGGCTGCAGGAGTTCATCGTGACGCAGCATCCGCTGGTCGGCACCGTCTCCGCCTTCTGGCAGATGGTCTGGGACCACAACGCGCAGACAGCTGTGCTGCTCAGCCCCGTGGACGATCAGGTGAGGATGGGGATGAAGTCACATCAAAATATTTGATTAATATTCAGAGTATTTCCTACGTAGCATCCGGTCTGAACCTCGTGTAAGCTTGTTGTAAAGAATGAACGTGTGTAATCAAAGATGATATATGGAAGCATCTATTCTTTATTCGGGAATCTCCCGGAAACCAATAGAGGAGCTATGACTGAACAAATCGGTAGTGTAATGTGCAACGATTTGTCTTTTTACAGGAGTACTGCATCTTCTGGCCTCTAGAGAGGGAGGAGATTGCCTGTGATCAGTTCCGGGTCCGGTTCACCTCAGAACGACAGCAGGGCCCGTTCGTCATCAGGGACTTCACGCTGCAGTCGTTCACGGTGAGTCAACTCGTCGCAATTACTTGGCGCATCCAACCGGTTTGGCAGAATGCTTGTCGATCGTCAACATGATCAGAACATGTTTGTCAGATGCTAGCTGATTATGAAACAGGTTTTTGGGTAATTAACGAGCGCCTCTTCACTTATTTCAGGACGACTACGAGATGCCGATGCGGATCATCCAGTGCTCCGACTGGCCTCTCAACTGCTCCCCGATCGGCCACGTATTTGATCTCATCCAGCTGGTACAGCGCGATCACCTCGAGTACCAGAACGGACCGTGCGTGGTGGTGGACCGGTTCGGCGGCACCGAGGCGGCCACCTTCTGCTGCCTGACCACGCTGATGAAGCAGCTGGAGTACGAGTCGCACGCCGACGTGTACATGTACGCGCGGCTGTACCACACGCGGCGGCCGGGCGTGTGGAGGAACCAGGACGACTACCTGTACCTGTACCGCACCATAGAGTCGCTGGTGTCAGGTGCTTCCAGTCCACTGCCGCCGTCCCCGACGGACGCCACCGTGGCCGGGATCCAGAACCACCTTCCTCTCCAGCAACAACAGCAGCAACAGCCGCCGCGGTCTCAGCAGCAGCTTCTGCACCAGTCCCAGAAGCTGCTGCACCAGTCTCAGTCATCGCTCCACTCCCTTCAGCCTCATCAGCTCCCGCACCAGCCATCCCCTCAGCAGCCGCAGCAGCTGAAGCCGATCCTGAAGAACTCCGCCGCCAGCCTCCAGCAGTACCACGCTCAGCAGGTCACCAGCGCCTACCCCGCCCGACACGCCAGCACGCCCCTAAAGGGAGCCAGCGACGACTACGTCCACCCCAGCCCCTCGCTCGCGCACCCCAACGGCCACATCCCCGGCGGTCACGCCGCTGCGCACGGCAACGGTCGGCCGTACCGCATCCCTCCCGATGGTCGGGAGAGCACCGTGCTTGATATCGAGCACTACGTGAACGCGTGAGTGGATGGGCCGTCTGCGCGTGTTACAGAGCCCGGCGCGGACCTGAACGTGGCGTGGCCGGACGTGGAGTGGACGTGAAGTGGTCGTGACGGGGACGTGATGGGTACGTGATGGGACTATGACGTGCGTGTGAGGAGGGCGTCTTTGATAGACTGCTGTGATACCGCGGTGCGATCTATTGGTTGATGGGAAATGGAACTTTGTGCAAAAAATAATGACGATGTTATGTAACAAGGCACATGTTGCGCTTTTGAGCGATCGGTCACGTGACTGTTATCGGTAGTGTGTTGGTTCTCCGACTGTGTTGTCATGGCAACTGTACGCAGGAGCGGCCGTACCCTCGGTATCGCCTGCTATTGTGATCTGACCATGCTTTTCGCCACGTGATGTATGCTGGGCGAAAAGGCGAATGGTGCTGCCGCGCTGAACGCTAATATCAACTATCTGTCCATTTAACTCGCGATGCCTGAAAGTACAAAGTGGTCTTTTAGTTGTGAAGCTAGATATTGTGTATTATTATTCAGTGCTGTGCTGTTTTGTATAAACGTACGATCACGATTGTTTGCTTTAGTGTTATGTAATAAATCGCTGAAAATTAAGCACCGGACTTTTGATACAAAGTATCTTGAATACTTCTGAAGTAAAAACGGTTCAAGTAACCATCAGATCTGCGTGATAACCGTTTATTCATGGCTCTATTAATGACTTGCAACGATAATTCTTGGAATATGAACTTCCCAGTCAATTGGCATTTTGATGGGATGAGCGATTAAACCACTTCTCAGAACATTAAATCCAGAGCATATCCCGCTAATGGCATCAGCATATTTGCGACTGCATTGGGCGCAGTCAATCTGAGGCAGCTTCGGCGCCCAGCCCACCGGTTCTCAGAGTCCTGAAATTACACTGACTTTCCAGACACCGAGTAATCGAATGCACCGGGTCTGAGCTCCGGTCGGTAAGAGCTGCAGCCGGTAACACGGACTCTCCAACCGTTCATTACCGTTTTGAGACGGACATTAATCAGTGGGCCACGACCCCAGCGGCGCAGGGGTCACCCGTCACGTCCTCCCAGCCGAGCACGGGATAATTAAACACCAGCAAACACGGATTTAATTGCAGCCTGCGGCGATGGTGGCTGTGCGCGCCTGCAAAAGACGGCATTCGTGACAGGGACGGCGTGCTCGAGTCGCAAAACAAGCGGGCGGTAATGTCATTCCAGCGAGGCACTTCCAGCTGTTTTTACGGCGGATCTGACATTTAGGAGAGGTGCTCGTCACATTCTACAAAACACGCGCGCTTATCGCCAGGTGCTGATGCTCGTGGCTCGTGCCAGCATGACAACTTCTGAACAAAAACTGCCGATGAATGCGCAAATGCAGTCGCCGGCCAGTCGACTGTAACAGGTGGCAGGCGGGCGACCCTGGCTCCCCGGCGGGCGAGCCGCTGTAAACGGGCCGACACCGCCCCGGGCCACTGACAACCGCCCCGCGAAGGCTCCGCACATGTTGGTGAGCTGCACACCGGCAATTTTCGCCAGGGATGAGAGGGTGCCCCACCCTACCGACCGGGAGAGCGGGAAAGTGATGTGGCTGAGAGAGGGAGAGAGTGGGAGAGAGAGAGAGGGATTGGGTCACTGGTGCAATCGAATTGCCATGTGGAAGCGAATGTTCAGCCTAGGAAGTTTTTGTAGCTCCAGCCTTTTGCTAGCCTCCAATTTCACGGATTTCATAGCACGAGGGCAGAATTGATCCCCTTGGATGCGTGTAATTAATACTCATGTAGGCTGAGTTGGCGTGTTAAAAGGGACCCTCCCACCTTCAAAAAAGTTAATGAATTGGCATGAAAGTGATGTCCCTTGGTTCAGAAAGAGCGAAAACGAATATCTACCAAATTTCACCGATAAATATTCACTGGTTTTCAAGATATTAGGCTTTTACTTTTGTTTACTTTTTGGGATCTCCCCTGTTACTAGCGACTTTATTTGGAAGCAATAATTTGGCAGCCCTAAAGTGCGGCAGACGTTGCGCGCAAAGCAGCGTATACCACCACGTGTTAACGATGGTTTTAGTCTAAGATTTAAAAATCGTTAGATCTCCGCTGACGTCACAAATTCTAAGGGGGCATTCCAATGCATTAGCCCCTTAGAATCCGAAAACTGCAAGTTTGAAATTCCATATCTTCGAATTAAAGCATTTTTCGATGTTGTGAGTGTCCAAACCGGTATTTGCAGGTCATGGCCACCAATTTGGCTATCTCAACTCAAAACTAATGTTAAGGTGGGAGGGTCCCTTTAAACCGCGAATGAAGGAGCATCAATCCCAGGAAGACCTTTTCAGATTGGGTGCGCAAATGTGGCAACAATTGACAAGTATTTATTAACAGGTGACTGCTTCAGGTGTCAATATGAGAAAACCGTTTAAGAGTGTCTTCACTGTTCTCTTCTGTTCAACCTCTCTGTTTGGCTGTTGAAGTTGAGACTATTCATGCCAGTGCCACTCCGCAGTCCACACCATTGTGTAACTGGCTAAACCACAGCCCGGGTCTGAAGGGGCAGGCCAACATGAGTGAGTGTGGCTATAGCGTGACCTCACCGGTCAGTCCTTCAGCTGGCAGCGATCAGGAGCCGATCATGTTACACAGCGCGGCGCTGACGTGCTGTTACTCGCAGCTGCGAGCATTCCACACGCGGTGATTGCTGATTACGCTTTGTAAGCGACTGGCCAGGACATCTGCCTCGCGTGCCGTATAGGCTGTGTTGCTTCAGTTTTCTGTGGCTTTCCTTGTTGGTGCCGATGAGCTGATTTCAGATGAGCTGTGTAGACAGCTGCTGAACACTGATGTCGCGTGGACTATTGTAGGTACCGAGGAAAATGGATTTTAAATTGACTGATACAGTACTCAAATGCAGAGTTTATGTTAGAACGTCAAAAGGAAACGGATGTACTGAGCGCTGTGTAGGTTTTCGGCCCAAACGCGTGTTATACCTTTTTCATTTACACTTAAATCGCATTCAATTTTGTCGACGATCGAACTTGATTATAGGGTTTTCTGGTTTATCATGCATCGCTTTCATGAGTAAAGATGTCATAGCTCAGGGCATACATCAATAAATCAGTATCGTATCTTTAAATATTTAATCCATAGCACAATCAACACGGCACCATATTAACAAGCAGGTATTCCATCACCTTTTCATAATTGTTTGATCACCAGATCACCGCATCGATCATCAACTCTAACAAACATGTGATAATATGGAGCGTTTCCAGCTCAGAGAATAATTGTTTTGATCAATACCTGGGATATTGTCTTAAAGTGATTTGATACTGCTGGTATACTAGCAAGTGTACCTAACAAGTTACATGCATTTACCGCTCTGACTGTCTCCAGATGCACAGTGCACCCATGCGCATCGTGCGCTTGTGCATCTTGTCTCTGTCTTGTGTACCGATTGAACAGATCCTATACCAGTTCTTTATGGCATTTGCTGGGAACGAAGCATTAGGTATGGAGCTCGCGACTTCTTTCAGCCGTTCCCGTCATATTACCTCTATCGGACAGAGCGGGGGAGAGATAGAGGGGAGAGGAGGAGCGTCTGACCGCGTCGCACGTCCTTGGGGAGCCTGGCCAGCGAGCCAGACTATTACTCTGCAGATAGGCGGGCTGGGGGCTGGGGCACGGACAGGCGCCCGTCCTCGCACTGTCAGCGGGTAGACATTAGAGATGTCAATCGGATACCAACTTTGTTGGTATACCGATACCAAACCGATACCAACTTGGTATTTGGTATTTCAAGGCGAATGTATTTGGTATTTTGTTGGTATCATGAATCCTCTCTTATGTAAAAGAGCCTGAGAACTTGGTAAAATTTTGGTATTTCCCTCATATTCACAAGTTGGTTCGGTTTCGGTATTTTTCCATGTGTATTGTTGGTATTTGGTTTGGTATCGGTATCACGATTTTCCGTAATTGACATCACTAGTAGACATACTGACTGTGGAGTTGGTGCTAGTCACGCAGTAATTGACGTCCTGGGTAATGACAGCATTCGAGTCCAGAATTACACCGTCACTCCAGTCTTGAGTGACATTTTCCCAGGAGACGCACTTTCCGAAAATTCGCCGCCAACTTTTTCTGTGAGTTGGCCGGTGGTGGTTGCCGGGTTTTCTGGAAGGTGCGGGTGTCGGCCGGGTGTTGTGTGTCGCGGACTCACTGGTGAAGACCGGCTGGTTTGTCGGATGTGGGCGACAGTCGAGTGCAGTATCAAATGGCAGTCCGGCCGGAGACGAGAAACTGCAGCGGCCCCGACTGGAGACGGCCAGCGGCGCGGCGGCTCAATTCCATCAGAGGTCCTGAGTCGGCCAGTCACGTCAAGAGGAGCTGCCGATTTGCGTCTGGGGAGCAGCGCGCGCCACTCCCCGAATCGTGCCTAGGCTGTCAACGGCACTCCACGCTCGCTATCCGGAATGTGCAGGGGTCGGTAGCCACCGGCTGACGGCCGTAGAGAGCTCGCTGGAAAACCGCAATCGTGGTGACACGGCACCGAGTCAGTTCCTATTTTCCAATATCGTTTCATCTTCAGTACGCTGGTCTATTTTTCGTCACCTGAATTCGGCAAAGATCCATTGATTTCACGCTTCCTGTCGTTTGCTGTTGTCCGCACGTCGGTGGGTTTCTTTGGTCCGGTGATATATCGTGATATCGGACCAGTTGCCTCCACTGCTCGCGGCTCGGTGTCCCGTTAAATCATCGGCGGTCATTTCTTGTGCGGTCGCCGTCTGTTCGTGAGCCCGTGAGCGCCCATTTCGACTACCGGTAGAGCGTGACGACGGGCGGCGGCGGCGGGCCGGTGACCGCCGGGCGACGGACGATCGCTTCCTGTCCGTCCCTCCACGCCCTCCCATCCCTCCCCACTCCTCCCCGCCAATCATCAGAGCCGGCCGTTTCCGGGAATTAGCCGGTGGACTCACGACGCTCCCTCCTGCGCCACCCGCGCCTGATGGCCATCCACTCGCGCCGCCTTCACCAAACGCACCGCCTGCGCCCAAAACAGAGACGGCGCGAGCGAACACGGCGAGCACCTGATAACGACTGCCGCGGCGGATGTTCCGCAATCATCCGGCAATCTGTCGCGATTATCTCGCCAATTCCAGACGGCGATAATATGGACACCTGTCGGCAGAGGCTCGGGAGATTTATAAACGGCACTCGATGAAGAATGAATGTCGGTGTATTTCATCCGACGGTAACACAATGCGGCGGCGGCAAAGCTGCAGAGGAGCAGTGGTAAGGTCATGTTAATAATGTGCCGTCGAAGCGGCATCCGTACGACGGCCTGTGCAGCATGGATTGGCTTGCAGTCGGCCGCCTCTCCACCGCGGCGTGCACACCAATTGTGCACACCGAGCGTGCACAGCAGGCGTGCACGGCAGACGACCCCTGGTGGGCTGTGGCGGGTCGGTTATGCCGCGGGCTGCAGACGAGTCGGTGGGGCGGGGAGGGGAGGGAGGCGACCACAGACTCGCCAACGAGGGGGGAGGCGCAGCAGTGGCCAGTGGCCACACGGACTGAGGGACCGTGACACGCGACGCCTTGG